TCTACTCACTGTAAAGTCTCACCGTTTGTCTCATCTACTCGAAAAAGGATACGTTCCTGAAAACCCGTCGCTCGTCGCATCCAACGAATGATGTACAAGACACTCTGTGACACAATCAAGACCGCAGCTGGAAAATCGTTCCTCACGCAACATCTCAAGAAAGTGAAACTCGTCTATTCTGGGAAAAGATGTCCAATCACTACACGACGTCGATGACAGCGACTATTCGTTCCTCCAAGACCTCGACCTATTTGACCACTGCCAATCTATCAGACGGATCGTGGCGTGGAAGTCAACAGAACTTCATTCTGAACTTCAAGGAACAAGGTTGAATCTACAACGATACTTCTGTGCACGACAAGTACTCTGATGGACAACTCATACAATTCCTTGAACAAGCTGTCTCAGCGTACCCAACCTATCCGGTGTACGACACGTGGATATGCTAGCGCGAAGCGCAGCAAGAATGAGGACACCTACAGCTTTGAAGATTACACCGCAAGCCTGCTCTCGCTAGCAGCCATCTACGACGCAGCTCACCTGGTAATCACGATCCAGAGGAAACTCACGAAGAAATCTTTGCTCCACTTGTGCCAGTACGCTTCGTCACGGAACTCTTTGTAGTCGCTGCGAGAGATCTTGATCGTATTGTTCCAGTGTTCAATCTCTGCTTCGGCGGATACAGGAGCTCGTGTCGTGATCTACGGGACCACTTCCGCTGATGGATCCCATCGTCCGATGCAGAATCGTTGGAAGTTAGCGAGACTGATTGACGTGACGTTGATGGATTTGGTTTGCTCTCGACAGAAGTGATGAAAGAAGCAAATCGCAGCAAGGAGTTGTCGTCGCTAACTGAATCCAAGAGGGTGTTCGGCAACGGTTCCAGCGGCTGGAATCACGAGAGACTCAATGTCTTTGCGTTCCATCATCATAAGATCTGAGAAGGTATCGACTCCAAAGTGAGTGAGGGCAAGCATGACATCGTGAGTTTCCCAGTTGGTTTCGTCATTGTTGAGCATGATGGTCACGACATGCTTGAGCTTGTCGCGATCAGCGTTTCGACGGGCAGCGGCGGATATGGTTGTGCAGTTGCGTAGGGACGTAACTGCGACTGTTAATCTGCTGAAATCCTATTTCGTAAGTGATAATCTCCCTTCCTTGGGTTGGCGTCGTAGCGTGGTTAGCTTCGACTAGACCTTTGGAAGACGTGCAATGGCAAACAGTAAAAGAGAATATTATGAGCATTACGATCTATCAAGTCTATTGGGTTTCGTTGTCAAGGTTCGGACTGATAGAAACGGAACGGCGCAAGCCGGCATCGGCTTTTGGTTCAAACATGGCGCCTATTCGACTCGGGTAGGATCGAGACATAAATGCTAAATGGGACCACGGTGCATCCATCGTGGACCACAGTGTGGAATATGCTGCGCAGACTATACGCGCTCTTCCGGTACTCATGAACTCTATCCCTTGACCTCCGACTGGGATGAGTCACTGGTCTTCTGAGTCGTGGGAGAAAACGCCTCGTTAGCAAAATTGACACACAGCGCCACCAATATCAGTCCCAACTAGTTATCCAGCATCTTGAGTTCCTACAACATCACAGCAAGCTCCATGAGATTCAATCCCAATAGCACCTTGATAGCCAGGCCCACATTGAAGCAATGTCAGCCCAAACCTTGTTTCTTTACGATCAACTTGCACAGCTTCGAAGCACAACCAGTCCCTCTGCTACAGATTTCAGCACTTCAGATAGTGGCTCTGGCGAAGGTTACGCAACAGGCATTCCTGTTTGCCCTTCTCCGTCCACACCAGTCACATTGTCTGCTCCTGTGCCCACCAGCTCAGCCAACAGCATCGATACAGCCTCTGGCGCACCACAGTCACCGATGAAAGCACCTCCAGAATCCGATACCAGCACTCCTGCGAAGATCACCGTCAATGCACCAACTCAATCCTCGGGGCAGCACTCTCCCCAATATGTTGCTGACTTTCAACCATCGCCATCTGCAGCACGTCATAGGTCAACTGCCATCTTTGCGCCCATGCTACTCACCCAGAACTACCAACCACAGTTCTCAGTCTACCAGCTGCATACCGACCCCCCATTGGTCTGATGCCATGACTCGGCCACCATCCTACCAGTGCTCCCTGATGTCCACGCAACAACCACTCCGGCGTCATTGCTCCCGTGCCTCTCTAGCCAGAGAGCCGCATTGGGTCCCTGGAGACTAACCCCTCCAAGGTGTCCCAGCCTGTAGTTTGTCTCGTATCGTTGTGTGACTTTCTGGTCGTTTGTGAAGAGTTACAACGATTACTATGTGAAGCAGTATAGCTGGCGATTTAGCCAGGGGCAGATAGTTAGTCGTAAAGCACCTTCCGGAGTTTTTACACTTTCTCCGGTGGGGGGCTTACACTAGGCCGGTTCCTACCTAAGTGGGCGCCTCTGTGCGTCTGAGGTATGCCGGTTCGTTATGGCACCGTTCAGCGGGATTGTCTAGCGAGGTGTAGCCTATAAAATAAAATTTCGTTATTTTTTTGTCCACGAAGAACTTTACGAGGACTAACCTACCTCGGCCCCTTGTCCTTGCCCTACACACCTTGGGGACAGGGGGCAACTTCTCCCACCCCGCTACGCTCCCTCCCTGTTCTGCCTTTGGCTTTTGGGTTGCACTGCACGACTGAAGGCTGTCGTCCCGTGGAACATCACATTCCCGGGACTCCCTTCCGCCGTGTGGGATCCATCCGGGACTCCCCAGTCCCGAATGATACCCCGGGGACTGGAGACGGGCGGCTCAGTAAATGGCCGAGTCTCTCCACTCACCTAATCCTCTACTAGTTGTGCCTAGCTGCCCTGGGCGAGCGCAGCTTGTCTGCGCTCGCCAACTACCAATCAAATATACAATGCATCAATACTCCCCATTCGATTGCAGAATTCAAGCTTAGCTTTGGTCTGTTTGAAGGAAACATGCAGGCTTGGTCGTCCCTTGCTTGGTTGGATCACGAGCTCACTTTTTACTTTTTCGCTTGCTTTTTATTCCAAAGAAGGCCATGGTGTTTGGCCGAATTACCACGGGAGCCGCTACTGTTTTCCTTTCAATGGAGGCCCTGTAAATTGGTCTCTCTCGCCGTAAGGGTGTAGTTCTGCTGTCGTTGACTGGTTTGTCTCTTGCTTTTTCTCTTTCATTTCTTTCCTCCACAAAGGCTGTTCTTCGATTGCCGGCCCCTAGAACAAAGCTGATCCAACTGTTCTTCTCTGCCGATGAAACAACAACTCCGATCTTGCTGCCGTTGTCGTGTTACCTCATCCATTGGATTTGAGAGGCGTGATGGAGCTATCCGTCTTCAGCAGTATGGGAAATAACCAGCCTCCACAGGTTGTTGATTGATGGATTCGAGGTGGTCGATGGGTGGAGCTGATGCCAATCAAGCCGGTCACCGAAATTCATGGGGCTGTTATCCTTCCTGATTGTGTACCTTGGTCGCTCCAACAAAACAAAGTCAAGAGTAGCAGAACCACAACAGTCCGTGGAAGGTGCAACTTCCTTTTCTTTGGACCCAACGTCACTGGAATCTCTTCCGTTTAAGTTACTTTGATTCAAAGCCAACAGAAGAAGCCCTGTTGCCAAGTCTCTTTGTGCCGACTTCGAAGCTTGCATTGCAAAGTAAGTCAAAGGCCGCCGTTGATGCTCTTCCTCAGGGCTGGTCCTAACCGCATTCATGTGGTTCGTACGTACGCCGAGAAACACATTTATTTCCATTTATTAATCACGTACGTGGCTTCATTCTTAACCAGCATTCGCAGATACGTCATTCGCGAATACGCCGAACTCATCAGGGTTAGGGTGAAAGATTCTGCCAAAACGCAATCACCGTGCGTCAGGAAAACTCGTGATAATTGTACATGATTGTTCTTTGATAGAATCTCGTTGGTTGCTACTACTAGCGAGCATCATCATCATCATCATGTGGATCCACAGGCAATCATGTGCATCCATTTGTGGCTCCTCTTTCACCACAATTTCCCTTTTTTTGAGTTCTTCCTATCACCGTAACCAAATCGAATTCTGCCGTAATCCCCATTCGTTGTTATGAGCGACAAAGACAGTGATGACGAGTCGGCTACCGGTAGTGTTGATGTAGGACAGCAACTAAAAGAGTCCGATGAGCGGAACAAGAGGAAGAGAGAGGAAGACGAAGCCCAGGAGTCTGAGTCGTCATCGAGTAGCAGTGTGGCCAAGAAACCAGCCGTAGTTGTTGCTCCGGTCTTGGTCCCAGTCGTACGCCCAGTCGCAGTCGCAGTTGCAGCCCCAGCAGTCCCAGTCGCAGCGGCTCTCCCTCGTCCACGTCCGACACCAGCTGCAGATACAGGAAATGCATGACCAGCGAGCTCGTGTGGTGCCGCAACCACCTTTGCCGTACTACGAAGCAAAAGTTGTGTAGACGAGCTATAGCCTGAGCCAACCATAACATGTTCTTCAAGGAACAGCCAAGAGGCCGTGCGAGTATGCCCCATTTCATCTGCATAAGACCGAATGCCATTTCAACACGAATACGGCACTGGCTGGCATAGAAGTTGAAATTGTCGTAGAGCGGGATCAATTTGTCGGTACCCTGATATTTAACGCTCGGAGTCCCAAAATCTGGGAGACCCCACTCCCAAAATCTGGGAGACCCCACTCCCAGATTCTGGGAGTCTCTACTGGTAGGTGTGGTAAATATTGGGTCAGATTTCTATTTTATTCCCGCATCTACCTGAATATCCTGTCTTCCAGGAAAATCGATGCTGATGGTTGATGAGTCCGCCTGCACGTACAAAGGAGGTTCTGTTGAACCGCTTGTTGCAGCGGCTACAGCGGCTACTCCTCTTAACAAAGGCTACTACTCACCACCATGACAGGCTCCTCTTGTTTGGCTAGCGGCAGCGGCAGCGGCAGCGACAGCCGTTCGACGATCGGTCGTTCTGTTCGACTTCCGACAACTTCTTCTTCGATCGATCGGAGCGACCATGACGCCTCCTCTTCCACGGAACGACGACGCACGCCTCTACCATTAATGAAACAACAAGGGACTACTACTACAGTAATGTAGAAGAGATAGCATCATCTTGATAGAGTGACTCCCAGAATCTGGGAGTGGGGTCTCCCAGATTTTGGGAGGATGATTCCCAAAATCTG